CACACACACACACACACACACACACACACACACACACACACACACACACACTGCCTACTGACCCATAAGAAACCGGCGTCCACCCCACTCTCCTTCCGTACAGCTAACCATGGAAGACATTCGGCGGCGAGAGCTCGTGCGACAGAGGAACAAAAAACATGCCAAGGCCTCACGTGAACGATTCCACCAGCTTTTGGAGGATCTCAAAGAAGTGGGAACGCAAATACATGTGTTCAACGTTGTTTGTTTTTGGTTTCATCTGTTTATTCCGGCAGTTGAAAAAAAAATTACATAATATAACACACCAGCAGGACATACATTTAATTTTCTACCGAGGATATGTCAATCATGCAGACACTAAAGCAGGATGACAAACAGATAGACATGCATACTCATACACACACACACACACACACACACACACACACACACACACACACACACACACACCCAGGCGCACACACACACACATACACAAGATCCAAGGACAAAATATTTCCACATTTTTAGAGCTGAATTTAATCTGTACGATCGACGAATTTGAATAATTGACAGCCTCTGAAACCAGAGTAAAATGCATAACAACCGCTCGGTGTAAAGGTGTAGACAGAGTAGAGTCTCCTTTCTGGAGCTAGCCCCAGGCCTCTCCACTCCCCTTTTGGGGAGAGCAAGGGGAGAGGAAAGTCGGCGACAGAGTGAAGGCCTCTCCCCTCCCCCTACGTCCCCTATGAAGGGGTGACATCTTCACTTTTTTTAAATCAGTGTTCGTGATTGTTATTACATTTTCTCAATGTAACAATATTTTCGAGGCTGGCCTAGCCCTGTCTGTGCAAGATGGACGAAGAAATAATTATATTTCAGTGGATGGTTTTATATTGGTTAAGAAAAGAAAGCCTGAACAGACACCGTTACTGGGTTCACAAAATATACAAACGTCGTAGTAAGTATGGTGACTATCATCATTTAATGGAGCAAGTCCTTTCGGAAGAGGAAAAATATCTGTCATTTATATTGTAAGGATGATACCATCTACGTTTCAACTTCTCCTTTTGTATCGTGTGCAAGTGAGTACTCACACCGAGTGGGGGTCTTTGGTGACTGAAGGTGCGAGAAATTTTAGTGCTGCGTTAAATTTCAGTCACCAACCTTTTGGGGGCTTGGAGGGGACTCGCCTCAAAAAGGGGAGTGAGAGGTTGGTGACTCTACTCTGTCGCTTGCAACGCTTTCCCTGTAAACCAAACTTGCTGCTCCCCAAATTGGGGCCAGACGTGGAAAAGGAGCGGGGAATGTGACTCCACTCTGTCTGCACTTTAAGACTCCACCAGACGCCATTTTGAAAAGTGACATTTGACAGAGTCGTATACTGAGCAGTTGATAATATATAAGTTATATTCAATAGTATTCATTTCTAAAAAGAATATTTGAGCGCAATGTGAATGTGCAACTTTATCTAACTAAGAGAGCTTGGCGATGTTTAACGTACTAGGGGTTTCCAATTTTTCAAATGCCGATGTGAATTTCTATTTGTTCTTCATTATTCTTTTGTTTTGTCCCCTATAGAGACAATTGGACCTCGAGGCGGAAAATAACAGTCTACGCGCTGACGTCCAAAATCTTAAGTCCAGAAAAGAAATAATGTTGGAAACATTGCGGGGATTCGTGTCTGATGATCCCCTCAGCAAGCCTGTTGTTAGTTCCAACAGCCCTGGACATGGAAAGAAACATTATTTGTCTACAAACCGCTGTTTTTCTGTCTTGACGCACTCACCAACAAGAAAATCCCAACAATGGCCCAACACATTCCCCAGGCAGAAGTTCTCTGTGACCAGAAAAGTAGAGGATTGGCTGCAGGCTCAGGCAACACTTCCGTCCACAAGTAAACAGAACCCAGAAGAACTGCTATGTTGTCCCACAAGCTCCGGAAAACGGGATCCAGTAAAATCGAAAACAAGTGGCATGGTTTGTATGTTTTAAAGTGTACACTTTACCTTACTTTCTTTTGGTGTTTTCTGTAGTTCATAAACCGTTGAAAAATAGTTAAAAGGGGTGCTTGATTCAAGTTAACACACACACTCACACACACACACACACACACACACACACACACACACACATGTACCGGATGCATATTACGTTAATCAGGCTCATCGTCTCGTATAATATGCTTGTTGATTTACCAGTTAATTATATGCCTTCGCTAACTCTATATCCCAGAATCCCAGACTGCATATCGATGGTGTTGTGCAATAAACGTGTAACTGTCTTTTTTAACATTTTTTGACACGCAACTAAATCCCAGTGAATTTAGATGGTGACAGAAGACAATTTAGTCGACAGTAGCCTACTCTTATGTAAGCTTATTATACTATTTTTAGAGCTTGCCGACTCCTGATTTTTATTGCGCACACAGAAATGGGCAGTGACAATATGGTTATAGAACAAACAAACAAAAAACCAAATGCCAAAAACAACCCCCCCCAAAAAAACAAAAAACAAACACCATCCCCAAAACAAACAAACAAACAAACAAGCAAACAACAACCAGCAGCGACAAATGAACTGACCTGTAACTTGGAACTTTTTCGTTAGAGCATTACATCACAGCATGAGACATGCTGATCAACAGACACAAAAATGAGATACTGCTCGGATTTTAGCCCTTATTTAGACATAGGCACGTCAAATTTATCGGTTGCTATTATTATATGAAATGATTTAAAAAAGACATGTTTATGTTGAAGAAAATGGCATCAGTTTAAAATCTATTCGATATTTGAGTCATGTATCTCTATTCGAAGGTTGCGAGATGCAACTCATTTTGTCTGCCCACCTCAACTGATTTAATATTACCCGAAAGATGAAGATTGTCCTTAGGGAGAAAAAAGTAAATTGTTTGATCTGCACAGACATTCGTATTTGTCTTTTCCTCTGGTCACTAATAGAACGAATTATTTACCTATAAAGTCTCCATCTGTTATGTCTGTCTGTCAGTCTGATTATCAATTATCGTCTCCTGCGCTCTCTTGTCTCGGTATCGCTGTGTCTGTCTGTCTGTCTGTCTGTCTGTCCCTTTCTCTCTCTCTCTCTCCCCTCCCCCCCCCCTCTTTCTCTCCTTGATCACACACACACACACACACACACACACACACACACACACACACACACACACACACACACATATATATATATATATATATGTATATATATATATATATATATATATATATATATATATATATATATATATATATATATATATAAGTAAGGGAAAGTATACACTTAAAAACATATATATATATATATATATATATATATATATATATATATATATATATATATATATATATATATATATATCATCATCATCATCATCATCCAGTGCCAGATCTGCGACAGACATCGGCGATCATGATTTTCCATTCATTCCTTTGCTCGGATGCTCTCACAAAAGCTACGTTTCCCTGATTTTTCCCTGTTACCCATTTGTTTAGGTTCCCTAACTATGTTGTTCTGGGCCTACCCCTGCCTCGCTTGCCCTCAATTTTGCCAGTGAGAGCTAGATGTTCAAGACCCTTATGTCTATTCAGGTGTCCCAAAAACTGCGTTTGTCGTTTCCTGATTGTTTTTAACATTGAGCGTCCCACGTGGGCTTCATCAAGCACTACCTCATTTGATTTCTTTTCCTTCCACGATACTCTTAGCAGTCTCCTAAGAAACCACATTTCTGTTGCCTCTATTTTCACTGTCTTTAGTGATTGTCCAGCATTCACAGCCATATAGAAGGGTTGACCAAACATAGCATTTCAGGACTTTCATTTTGGTGTTCATTGATATGTTTCTATTTTTCAGGATTGGGCTCATTTTATTGAAACTAGCCTTAGCCATTGCAGTTCTCCTTTTTATTTCTGCGGAAGATTTGGCATCAGATGTTATCATATATTCTAGATATTTAAACTGTTGGACTTGTTTGATCTTTTCACCTTTGCTAATGAGATTACAACTAGGATTTGCTGCTTTTTTAATATTACCATGCATTCTGTTTTCTTTACATTCAACAATAATCCTTTATGTTCACTTTCTTTTACAACAGTATCTAGAAGCATTTGAAGGTCCTTTTCGGAGCCTGCTATTAAAACCGTGTCATCTGCATACCTGATGTTATTAATATTTTCTCCATTAACTTTGAGGCCTGGACATTCTTCTATGTTTCTAAGGATTGTTTCACTGTACATGTTAAAGAGGTCTGGTGACATAACACATCCTTGCCTCACTCCTCGCCTAATCTGCTTATATTATATGTATATATATATATACATTGACCAAGCTAAAGACCTTGCATGCTGTTGATAGGCGGTCCATCATTGTAGGGTTGATTCACAGTGTCAGCTAGTGCATACAAATGAAAAGAAACTCTCATATTATTTTTTAAGACTATTTGTGTTCGGTGTTCTTTCCTCTTTCGAAATAAGGCAAATTTTTTTTACACCGAGGGCAATTAATTAATAATCTTTTTGGAAAACGACAACAAGGTCTAGATTTCTATGTGTTGATCGTACACAAACCCCTTGACCAGGAGAAACGGAAATGACCGCGAATCTCCTTAGAGGGGAGGTCACGCTCTTTATTTTGACAGTAGGAAAAATGATAAAATGACCCCCCAAAAAGCTGTGACAGTAACCAAAAAATACAAAGTGAAAACCAGAACTCACCATTTTGTTCTTAAAAATAAAACAATTTTTGCCTGTAGTGTAGTCTCAACAGAAAGGCCAATCTTTATTATTTCTTCGCAGTGAAATCTGCGCTCCTGGTCAACAGAAACATTTCGTTGTGAGGCGCCCCCCTCTCCTTTTCCTCTTTCCTTCCGTTTTGCGCTCCAGCTGGAACTGTGCACCCGAGTGAGGCAAAGTGTCGATTTCGACTGAAATTCTTGCCATTTCTCTCTCAAATAGTGTTAAATAATAAAAAGAAATCTACATATTGTCTTCTGCTGTTTTTTTTCTTTCGAAACATGGTACTCTTTTGTTACGCTGGAAGCATTTAATGAATAATACTTTGGGCAAACAACGAAAGGGTCCGTAGGTAGATCGTCGCGCTCAGCCTGGCACTGGCAAAACGATTTGCTCGTGGAGGGGGGGGGGGGGTGTGGCTAGATTATTCAGATAACGATACAAACCGCTTGTCCATAAAAAAAAAGGAAATGATCGTATCCATTGACCATGAAAAAGGGGTGATCTGCTCTCTCCTTAGATAGTAGACGAAGTGGAAAAGCGGGAGAAAACACCGAGTCAACAGCCAAAATGACAACTGGAAACACGCCCCCCCAAAAATAATAATCTCAAGTTAACTTTCTTAACAAGAAAAAAAATTCCGTGTCGTATCAACAGAAAGCTTTGTCTTTTTCCTCCACACTGATGTACAGTATATATACGGAATCTGTGCTTTCCTGGTCAAGCGAAATGTTTCGTTGAAA